GCTTTTTAAATATTGTCAATTGTTATTAAAATATAATAAACAAGACTGATTTGAAATTTTGAAATTCAAATTAAAAAAATTAATGTCAAGTCATGTCAAGCTAATTTAAGTAGTAAGTGTGGAATGCAGAATAGATAGAGGTTAAAGAGTTCAAACTCTCCTAATATATTAAAAAAAGGTTAATATAATTTTGGTCTCTCAAGTTTATTTTTATTTTGATTTTGGTTTATCAAATTTCAAAGCATAGATTTTGATCTCTTAAATTTATTGCCGCCTAAAATATCGATATTTATAATTTAATAAAAACTTAAGCTCTTTAATTTGTCCTATTGAAGACCAAAACTATGGTTCAAAACTTGAAACAAATATTATATTAACACTATTAATATATATACACGCACACACACAATGTCAAACACATTATCCCAATCTCCCTTAAATGAATCAACTAATCAAACTTAGAAAAAGATTTAAAGAGGCTGCTACTAAAAGCTTAAAATCACAAATAGGCTTGAACCCGTAACTTCACAAAAAGAATTATAACCCACTGACACTCTTCTTTGCAAAAGAGAGTGAGTGGGAGTTTCTTTGTTCTTGCCTTCTTGGCATTCTTCTTGGTCATACGCATGTGGTGCTTCTGAAGCTGTTCAAATTTGAATCTTTTAAATGTCTTTTTTGTTTTTTTTTTTTTGGGGAAGAGTTAAAAAGAAATAACTCCAAATAACTCTCTTCATCAGCTGAATTGGAAGCGGACCCTTAAAGCTGAGCAGGGTTGATAAGATATTTATTAAATTACAGAGTGAAAAAGACAGGAGAAGTTGGTGAGCCATTAAGCTCCAAGAAAGACTGAAATTTCCCATGAAGATAATAATCTCAGAGAACTCTTCAGACTCAGATCAGTCCCTGAAAATTGTGGCATAACAGTCAGCCTCTCAACTCGTGAACTTCTTCATTGGACAAACCAACTGCACCAAAAGCTATCACTATTCACTATAGCATCCCACAGCATCTCCGTGATAACCTACAAGTATAGACCCTTCCTTATTTTCCAGTCATATTTATGTGAATCCTTGCATTGCAAAACAAAAGCAAACCAGGAATCATCACTTTCTTTCATTTCAAAGTGTATACAGAATCGATATATCCAGTAGCTCTGATACTATCTCCCGTCTTAAATATATAAGAGTTAATTGGTAGTCCTAAATATAAGACCCCAAATAATTGTCTCCTAACTTTATAATGTGTTTTCAAAAATATCCCTGTTGATTGTAAAGTATTTCCACCTGAGTGTAATTTCAATGTACATAATTGAATAAGATTGATTTACGAAAGTTAATACACATTATTACAAATAACTAATTTAACTAATTTTCTTCATCTCTCTAAATTAGTTATCTAACTTTTATATTAAGAATCAGAAGTAATACTACCGAATCAAATTCAAACATCATCAACTCCAATTAGAAATAGGTTTCACAATATGATTTTTTTTTTAATTAACGGGATTTGAAGAAGAAAAATTGAGTCTCTTTCATTTGACCTAACCTTTAATATTAAGTTGTACTATTTACTACTCTATTCCTATTTGTAAGTTATTCCTAGGAAAAGAAAAGTTTTTTTTAAAATATAAGTCACTCATAGAGTAATTAATGGCATTTTTTTTAATTTTCCCCCATTGAATATAATTTAAAAAAATAGGTGAAGGAAAATTACAATATTTTTTCCAACACCTTTCTTTAATAAAGACAAGTGTGAAAAATTTAATTAATTGAATGCATTTCTTGATATGCCACAATAGGCTACAATAGTAATAGAATGGTATACTTTATGAATAGGACGGTACGTCTTAGTTTTCATGTTTTATATTGACACTATGATGGGAATCCTCTCCAATCTTCTTCTCTTGCTTGAAATATAGTCTATCGGTTCAATTTAATAGGAGGGAAAAGGACTTGATGCAACCACTAATATGTATATTGTACCATACAATTTTGACCCCAAAAAAAAAAAAAATATTGTACCATACAATTGTTAGAGTCAAGCTCTCTCTCTCCTTACCATCAGATCAAGACAAGAGACCATATTTCCAATAGGAGAAGATAAGTGAACTGCTAGTTGTCCTCATGATAACACCACCTATCATATTTGGATGAGGTCTCGAATTTAAGTTCAATACTGATATATTTGTGTGCTATTATATTAAATAAAAAAGAAGAAGAAGATAATAATGCTTTTTTTTTCAATCAGAAAAATTGTGTTTCCTGTGTGAAATTCCTGTGCTATATATTCATTCACATCTATGGCGAAAGAGATGGCAACAAATGCTCACAACCACCTCACATAATATGCCATGATGAAGCAACTACCTCCTGTTATGACCATTCCATGCATGGCTCTCTTCTATTTATATCATATCTAACTTCTCTTTTTTTATCTCAACCCTTCACTTCTCTTCACATCACATACTCTCACCTTCACCATCATTATGCTTCCCATCTCAATGACCTCAGAAGATAATCATTTTCACATCTTTCAATGGCGTTTCATTGACATAAATCACTCAGACTTCCACTCATACAGCCATGCCTTCTTTCTCCTACTTTTCTTCTTCTCCGTTATCATTGTGCTCGTCACATTGTTCCTTCTCGCCCACTTGTGTCGCCGGCGCTACCTTGTTGTGGCCTCTCCCTCACCGCCTGCTGCTAAACTTCAGTGGGGTAAGTTTGAGATGGAAGCAGTGGAGAATAAGAGGGCGGGAGACCTAAATGTAGAATGCTGCATATGTCTGAATGTGTTAAAGGAAGGTGGGAAGGTGAAGGTTTTGCCAGAATGTGAGCATGCTTATCATTCAGAGTGTGTAGAAATGTGGTTAAGTGCAAACCCTAGCTGTCCTCTTTGCAGGGCTTCACTTGATAAATTTATGAGTAGAAATGCTATCAATAATAACAATGTATGAAGGTTTCCTTTCTGTGTTTTCTGCCATTGACTTTGATAGCTTTCTTTTTCAGGTTCAGACACAGAGAGAGAGAGAGAGAGAGGTTTTGTTATCTGCAAAATATATATACTCTTACTCTAGTCTTGCGCAGTTGTAACTGATACTGCAACTGCACTGTGAAAGGTGAGGCAAATGGGGTTTGACTGTAAATAAAATGATGGAATATATTTGTCACCAGTAACCTTTTTGCGTAATTTTTTATGAGGTTAGTTTTCAACATGGAAGAGAAACAACTACTTCTCTTGAATGAATATTGTAGGGAGTAAAATAATATTTTTTAAAAAAACTCCATAGAAATGAGATCACTAGATTGTGAGAGAGAGAGAGACAGAGAGAGAGTTAATTCTTTTTGATCAATTAAAGTTGTAACAGAAACAATAGCCAGTTTAAGGAAATTGTATACTCAAAATTTGTGTCAAGTGTCATTTTCATTCATACGGCAAGTGACACGCATCCCTTTTGGTGGGGATAAGAGGAAGAACCTCATTCACAAAAATGGAAATGTACTGTATTATCATTATTTAACAATAATTATCTATCCCTTTTTATAAAAAGAACACAAGAGACATTGTTTTAATTAAATTTTTCCAATTTTGTTGTATCATGCCTATAGTACAATATCTACTAAATTCCCAACCTTTGTATATAAATTAAATCTAATTGGAAAGGTCTCCCTTTTGTGCTTAAGAGAATTTAGTATTTACTGTAAGCAAAAAAAAAAAGAAAAATAATTATGGTGTCTGAAGAAATAATTTTAAAAAAAAAAAAACTAGCAAGTCAAAAAAATTTTTAAGAAAATTGTAACTATATCTAATAACTAGTTTATAATCTTGCTACTAAGCTTTTATTTAAATAAAGAAGTTATAATTTTAAATATTTCGATAATAGCTTCTTTAAAACTTGATACTGATTTTCTTAAAATCTGATGTAGGTTTGATAATAACTTTTATCTTTTAAAATATTTGTCATTTTTAAAATCTTGCCTAACTTTTACTTATACAAGATGCAATGAGAATTTTAAACAGGGCTTTTTTTGGGGGCGGGGTTTGCAAAAATAAGAATAAGGAAAACTGCTTCGGGGATGAAAGCTAAAATTGGACTACTCCTTTAGTCCTATTTATAAGGCATAATGAGAAAAAAAATTTTATCCTATTTATAAGTCACTTCATTAAATTTTTACCATAAATGTACTATATTATCCTTCATTTATTATAGTGTATATAGCTATTTCTTTTGAAAGGTGTATATATTAAATATGAGTAAAGTTAGAAAATTGTTATATTTTAATGAAGAGTTAATACAATTTAAGATTTTTCTTGATCTGTGTGAAACATGTTAGAAGTGTTTTATAAATAGAACCGGACAAATATACTTGAGGCACAAAGAAATAATTTATTGTAAAAAGAATTAAATGTGGTTGGTAGTAGGCAAGGGGAATTGCACGAGTTTGAAACACAGATGCAGCATTGCGTTTTTCTTGCCTTTACTTCCCACCATTTTTGTCAGAGAAGCTTAGCTGCTTTGAATACATTTATTGCCACTTGCCGGTTGCATCATTGCCCATGCTTGTGATCTCAATCCCAAAACCGTGTTACTTGTTCCTAGCCGAAAAAAGGACATGGATATGATCTCAGAAATATCTAATCTTCCAAACAAATTATCAATATCTATGGAAGCTTCTTTGAAAAGTGTCTTATGCGCCAAGAATCTGTGTTTAACAAGTCAAGCATTCTCTTAGCTTTTCCAATTATCTGTTTAATTATTCATCTCCTTTTATCGCTATTCTCGTCACAGATAAACCTCATGCAGTCAAGTATTTCTCTTTAGCTTTTCCAATTATCTGATTATTATTGGATATTATTGTTCCTAAGATCGCATTATGCAACATTATATATTTCATTTACTTTCTAATCCTCCAAAAATTTTCTCTTCCGAAGGTTTCAATATCCCCAGCATTACAAGGGCGGGTTATTCTGGTATTAAAAAGCAGGAGTTACCAAAGTCAAAACAGATAAGAGAATGATGATGGTTATTTAGAATGATGTCTGGTTCTGCAAATATCAATTTTTGCAAACAAATGGAGTCAGGAGAATGAAAAATTTATGTACAAGTGGATCATGTCACCAAGAGAACTGCTCATCTGCTCATTTCAGTCCATTAGTTTGTATCGTTTCTCTTGGACACCTGAAACTCCCATTTGTATCTCTATTATTGTATGAAGGGGGACCTGCAATGAGCAAATCTCACATTAGATACGATAGTAGCCTCATGATTCACAAGAAGTAAGATGACAAATAAATATTTTTAACAAGTCATCATGAAAAATTGATATTTTTAAAATAGTTTCTCATGTTTTTGTAAATAATTTGATGTCAAAATCCTAAGATACTCCAAGCTTTGTCCAAATATGAAGTGGTGAGTTGCAAAATTTTTAACATCCTTATGTCATGATACATGAGTAGGGCGATATTACGAATTTCCGTTCCATTTATATAATTACAGACAACTATATACTTCATTTTCTCTATTTATATGTTCTCTGCCAATTCAGAACTATGCATCAACCCTCTTTTATTTCTCAATTTAAAAACGATTGCATGCAATAAAACGGGACAAAGAGTATCTCATATATGCACTCTCCAAATGAGAACAAAGATAAGTTACAAATGAACTTTTATGTAAATCCACTAGTTACCTCTATGTGTGGGATTTCTTTCAAAGGCCTGTCGGCAAAGTAAGCATATAATGCTCTCAAGACTGCCTGCAATGAGACAGCCAACAGAGAACATAAAAAGTATTACAACCAGTCAAACATTGAGACCATGTCTTAAGAGGCAAATTTAATATGATGCACAACCTGGTGAGATATTACAACAACAGGTGCACGTTGTCTCTCAAGCTCAATAATCACAGGCTCTAACCTGCATTACAAGTAGAACTGATAAGAGAGTCACATCAAACAGGTAGAAATTTGGATCTGATTTAACATGAAAAGTACAATACTGACCTTTGAATAACATCCAAATAAGATTCTCCACGAGGATATCGATACCTAAGCTTGTCTTTCTTGCGAGATCTGCAATTGGAACGCCAAATTGTTTAATAAATTTTGAGATCATTGTGCTCCCTTAACAAGTCCCTACCCTGTGCTTCTGCTGATTTATCAGTCACATCCAACTTAAAAGGGGAGCATGTGCGCTTGTCTAAGGAAGGGATAGAAAGTTTACAAATCAATGACATACTCATACTCCTCTGGCATGTTCTTCTTGATCTCCTCATATGTCATCCCGTCACATGCCCCAGCATTTATCTCATCAAGAGCACGCCATTGTATCTAACAAATATAAGGATAGTAAGCTCCGGAACACCATTGATGCATAATTTTGTCCACCTATCTGCTGATAGTAACTGATGACTGCATGCAACCATAAATATAGGTCAATAAGGACGACACTAACCTTGGGAAATCCGCCAATTGGGCTTGCTGTCAGAATTGTTCGTTGCAATGTGCTAGTCCATATCTGGATCATCAGTTAAAAAAAAAAAAAAAAGTCACTCACCATGCTATACATGTGCAACTTGTTTTCCATGCACGCCACAAAGAGTCCCAAATTACAGTCACCATTCAACACAAGTAGCAAGTAGTAGAGTCATCCTCATTATTTTACAATACACACTAATTCCAATAGGCATAAATGATACAATGTGCAATTCTCGCCACAAGCTATAGAACATTCCGAGTATATAACTCATGTTCAAACCTCCAATAATCCCCCTCAAGCTTAATTAGATGAAATGCTGGCATATGATCCATAGTCCATCGGAGGCAACCATTACTTCATCAAACCCAATCAAACCATTACAAATATGGATTCAATGGGTGCAGTCAAATTGTTTTTTTCTTCAATAAATAAATTATTAAGAACGAGAAATGTATACTTATTAGCTCCACAATGAATAATAAAAGACCAACATTTGCTTATATGTCCGGTTCATTCTCATTTCATAGACATTGCTCTGAATTTGTTTCTCTATTTTTCTATTGTTTCCCCCAGAAAATCTCCCACTATAATAAGGTATGTAATTCTCACAAGTGACACCAGTCTTATCTATGTAGATGGGCTTTCTTGTAAAAACTAAATACGTGCTATAGCAGCATTATTCACATTCACTGTAGATGCATAAACGGGCAAAGTATGTTTAATTATTTTTGGCTACAATGGTTTTTGCGACTCAAAACCTTTTCAGTAAAATACTTGGTTTTGTATTTTTGGGTTTAAATAAAATAAACCTTTAGATTTACAACTTAACAAAGCCATTAACATTGAAAAACTTGGGCGAAGGAACAAGGCTAGCTAGGAGTTGCACTATGTAAGAATGTAAGAATGATTTTGAAAGAAATAGCATCATCTCCTGCAATCACTATATTATTACCATTAATAATTGAAAACTTAGGAGAAGGAACAAGGTCATGGTGAATTTTGTTATAGACAAATGCTAGAAAATTCAAGGGTTTTTGGTTGTCAAATTGAAGAGGGATTGAATTAAAAGTTTTCTAATTAAAATTGTCAAATTTGCTGCTGGATGGTTCCTGTTTTTTCAGCTCCTTACTCTACTTCTTTCAGTTAGTGCACATTCAAAATGAGGAATGATGCTAGCCCAAGTGCAACATAAATTTCATATGCAATATTGGCAGAAAAAGGAAAAGCACTGGATCCTTTCAAGTATGAACTTAATAGCATTGGCTTCAAAGGGCAAGCGCGGGGACATTGAATCCAAGAAAGAAAAGCTTACAGAAGCAGCCCGTTCTGATTTGAGTCGCTTTCCTACAAAGTTGGCAAGCTTCTTTGCGTACAGTTGTCCAGTCTCACTGTTTTAACAAAATGCAGCTTCTTCTAGTTAACAGCTATAAACTTGAAAGCACTTTTCTTCCTAAGAAACAGATGTAAGATAATTAAGGAAACATCACTTTAAAGATAAAGGAACTGCTGCTAATAAAAATAAAGAAGATAAAGGATCTACAACTATTTCACCATCTCCATCTTTCCCTTGCAAGACAAACCTCTATTTTAACTTCTGAATGAAGCCTTGCTTTAAGGGGAGCTGCTTGTTCTTTTTCCTTTTCTTTTCAATAAATGACCGAATCAATGAAATCAATGGTGCAGTAAAAGAACGGCCCAAAAAGAATGAGAGAGGAAAAATAGCTTTGAAGATTCAACACAAGGGAGCTTTGTTTATGGGATTTGTCAATAGAGATGAGCGAAATCTCGCTGGGATCGCAACTTTACTTATCCAGGTCCTATGAATGTCTATTAATCATCATAAATTAGGTCAGTACGAAGGTAGTATGTCCCCAGACCACTAGTAATTGTTTAGACAACCATACAAGTATGCCTCTTCTCAAACCTCCCTCCTAAACTCCAACACAGTTGTCTCAAACGCATGGACATTGATCAGACTTTCACGCACTAAGCTTGGTCCTATTTTATGGTGCTCTAGTTCATCCGTTGTCCATTTGCATTAAGGAATATGCAATGGTTAACTCCGTAGCTTCCATATTTGGTATTTGAAAATCTACCTTGTCAGGCTCTCCAACTCTAACCAGACTAACAGGTCCAACCTAACTGTAGTGGCCCTGGTTGAAGGTTCAGTAATTTCAGGGGTTTTTCTCCATCAGATTTAGCAAGAAACGTGAGAACTATTTTTAGTGAATGTAAATATTTCTCTTTTCAGAGGTTTTTTCAGTTGCAGGATGATTCCTGGACCTCCTTTCTTGTATTTTTCCTCTACCTCTATAAAATAAAAAAATACAGAAGTAACCCATATTGCAAGCAAGTCCTGTGATATTTGACTCGTAAATAATGAATGATAGCCGTTAGGGTAGTTAAGCCAATACAAAGAATAGTTAGTTAAATTTAGCCGTTAACCCTAATCTATAAATAAGGGTAGCTATCAATTACGATGACTTATGTTAATACTCTGAATAACAGTGCATTTTTCTCTCTCTCGTTTTTTTCTTTCCTTCTCTCTCCTACTCCTCTCTCTCTCTCTCTCTCTCTCTCATCTTTCTCCCACAGCCCTCTACCATCCTGACTTGCACACATGAACCCCTACCGTTTAATCCCATCTAAATCAAAAGCATCCACTCTAGCACTTGCTCCTTTGCGTTGTCATTTTATCATTCTATAGTTTGTCTTTTTTCCAAAGAAATAGGTGTTTAAGCTTCCAAATGGAAGGTCTTTTTTAAATGTATTATAGCTCTCAAACTATTTAACTATTTCGTACCAAGCGCAGTAGATAAATAGGTTGCTGCAAATAATTAAGCTCTCTTTCTTCGGAACTTAGTACACAAGTGAAAATAAGCAATACTAACCCTGTTTGAAGTTCTTGCAAAGCCGTCAAGTAAAAGAGAGGACATGAGCAGTCAATATTAAGGGAAGGGATGAGAAAACAACAATTTGAAGGCATAGCATTCAATAATTTGACTCCACCTTCGAGAATAACCAGTAATGAAACAAAACTGGCAACTAGGTTTTCAAAATCCATTCATACTACTTCCTTTCTAAAAGCTTTTACAAAGACAGAATGGTACTGGACACGTCAAGCAAATACCTCACTGCAGTATCTCCACCAATTCTTCCTCTTACATTGTCCTGACTTTCTCCATGCCTAGTAAGTAATATGGGGCGTGGTGTGAGGTGGGTATTAACCTGCAATAGACGAACGAAGGTTCACAGTAAGAAGAGAACATGGTTCATAAATAAAAAGTTAAACTGAATTTTTACTCCGAAAGTATTACTGGAAAAGCTATGGGCACCCTAAAGAAAATTGCAGAGCAATGCAGCACATAATCTTTCGAAACTAGTGCAATGTAGCCCTTTTTTAGTAGTCAACATTGAGTCCCAATGTTAACCTCAAGGTTGGCTGTTAAAAAAGGCAACATTACACCAGTTTTGAAAAATTATGTGCTGCATTGCTTCACAATTTTTCTATGGTGCCCGTAGCTTCTTTGAAAATATTTTTAGGGCAAAATTATACTTTAACCCTTGAATAGATGTCAAGTTATCGAGCAAAGCTTCACAAGTTGTTAAAAAACCTATATTATCCATCATAGATATTAAGGATAATAAGAAATTTCATTTATTAGTTTTATGGGGGTTTATTAAGATAAGGGAGGACAAAATAATCTTCTAACGTTTCAAAAATATTTCTGACTCATGAAAATCCAACATTTCCGCCTCACCCTAATAGAAATGAAAATAAGGGGTTCTGTAGCTGTTGCTTACATTCCTTGACATGTTGTTTCCTTATAAGATTCTACAAAACATTTCTGCTATTTTCTAGGAATAAAAAAAGGTTCACAAACCAAACACCCATAGATGATATTCAAACACATTCTTGAAAGAACTTACCAAGAAGAAAACAATCCGACCAGGAAGGTAGCCACTGATATTGTTCACCTACATCAAAAGAGAGAAATTATAACAAATAGTCTTGATGTGTGGAGCAGAGCTCAAGGTGAAGCCCGTAAATTCATTTCTTCATTCTACTATTACATTCCAGTTATTTAAGTACAGCCTCCATATGAACACAAATGTTTATCGGCAAATTGTGGTACAGGATGACCTGATAATCAGCAATATAAAAGGGCTACGTTCAACGCATATGATTCAAAACAGAAAGAAAAATTAATCTTACTTGTATTTGCCCACCATGCCCACTGACCATATCAATCATTTTAATGTAAGATCCTTCTTCTACAGGTTCATAAACCTGACAATGAAAAATCTAAATTATATGAGGAAAAGTTCTCTAAGAATTAATAAAAGTGCATTCAAAAGACTTGCCTTCTCATAATTGGCCAGACGGTTTTTAAAGTCTTCTATCCCTGCTTCGAAATCTGTCCTGCAAAAGTACATTAATTAGGTGTAATTTCATGGCAATCAAGATGAAGATATCAGTGTTTTTAAGAGAAATTTTACTCTTCTGCATAGTCAGGACTTTGCTGAATTTTAAGACGTATGTTTCTTTCTATTATGTTTACATCATTGCATATTGTTTCCAGAAATATAATCTACAAGAAAAATGCAAAGATGCATCAGAAGAGATCAACATTATCTGTATAAATTTCATATGATAATTCTTAACAAAGTCCATTTGTGACTGCAGTACCTTGCATCTTCCTTCAGCCAATTTCATCAGCATGTTTCTTCTCTTCTTGGTACTGTTTGTGGCATCAAATATCCCCACCTAAAATCAAATCAAAAGTGATGGAGAGAACAGGAAAGAAGTAACAGTAGAAAAAGTCAAAAGAATTAGCTTACCTGGCCACCTTCTTGCATCCAAGATATCATATCTTCAAATGCCAAAGCGGCTACCTGGTAGCACATATACATAAAAACTATGCACAGGGAAAGGACGTGGTACAATGCAATCGCAAAAGAAAAAAAGGGACATGGTACAATGCCAGAATCATCCATGCCAAAGCAAATGCTTGAAGCAAGTTTGAGCAGGGTAACATAGCCTTAATAAGAATACGTTATACTTGGTGTCCATCAACATGAATTTTCCATTAGGATTTTGTATTCTACTTTTTACAATCCGGAAATTTTTGCCATTCATCAAAAAGCAAGAGATGTTAAAAAAAATCATAAACAATCACAGAAGCACTAACATGATGTTTTAAAAAAAAAAAAAAAATCATGGAACCACCATGACCATTCCAAGTTCAACTGTAACTAATAAATTAAGATCTAAATATATGGAAGTTATCCATTATATTCTGCATTGAATTTGATCTCAAAGCAACAAACTACTGGGCAAAAGTTACCTCATTGCGGGCCTCCATGCCTTCAGGATTGTCAGCTCGAAAAAAGTCAGCAGACTGCAATGAAGCATATGACATGCATTAAGAATTGCTCGTGAAAGCATGAATGACAAGTTAAATTGTATGGTTATAATAATTAAGTTACTCAGAAAGGAAAACGGATGATCTACCATTCACAATAGCACTAAAGAGCAACATTGGAAATTTTATGCTCCACCAAATTACAATAGATCATGTGAAAAAATTAGTCAAATAACAGATATAACTTAGAGCTTTTATGACCTTTTAGATCAAATGATTTTGACATAGCAAGAGCTTCTTTAATTAACTTAGAGGTTTAGTGTTCAGTCTTTGCCAATTCCCATGTCATTGTAAGTTCTTTCAATTTATTAATTAATCAATGGCAAACATATCTATAAGAACGCATAAAGAATTACTTCAGAAGATGAAATTTCAATTATAAGTAACCAGATCAAATTTTATGCAAATTGAGTTTACCTGATTAGTTCCATGCTTAAGGCGGCGATACTGTAACAATCAAATAGAAATGTGTGTCACTCTCATATCTGAGATATTTTGACATAGCAAAAGACTACCGAGTACAAAGAAGAGTCATGTCAAAGATGTCAGCAACCTTCCCAACATTGAAATGCTTGGTATCATGACCTAACCAACGAAGGTATCTTGTAAGTTTTGCTGCAGTAAAAGTTTTACCTCGAGCTGGCAAACCCACCTAAAGTAAAAGCAACGAGTTAGAACTATTCATTGTATTTTTTATGCAAAAAGTTATTAAATACTTGGGGAGATGCGAAAGAGGAGAACAAGAAATCTTCGAAAAGGAACTGCCTAAAAGGAAGACTGGCAGTCCAATCCCATAGTAAACTAGAGAGAGCTGAATCTCAAGTTAGAATTGTTCAATGTCACATGTATTAATTTCATGAACTAAAAAAGGAAAATATAATATCTTTTTGAGTCATTTTCAAACTCCAAGATACCCATAAAACTCTAACTTAAAGGGGAAGCAAGATAGATGAAGAATTACTAAAACTTATTAAAATTCATGATAACCAGTCATGCTAGTAAGTACCAGGATAATTGCTAAATGTCTATCCTCCTTGGGACCCAGCATCTGGTCAGCCACAGCTGCAGCTGCAACAGCTCCGGCAGCTGCTGGCATTGAATTCTATCATTGAAAAGAAAGCATACAGAAGCAATCAGTTGGGCACAAGTTGAGACTACAAAATCTTGTTCTCTACCATTCAATTTGAGGACAGAAAGTTAAAAACAAACAGAAAAAATCATTCATACAAACCTTGGTATCAGTTTCCAGATTAATATTAGTTGTAAAAGTTGTAGAGCTGGATTTTACAAGTCTAGGGGACCCAACACCCCTATCAACAAAATATCCCCTCTGACTATCTTGCTTTTGTAGTGATGTATATGTGCCCACTGACTTGGATTCAACCGGTCCAGAACCTTGACACGCCATTGATGGGTCTGGAACAATAATCTCCATCCCCTAGTAGGAATATCAACTTTATTGACAAATCCATTGCAGTGAAAGCACAGGTTTAAGGAAAATAATGACAAGATATTCTTGCATTGATTTTTTTGGAATTATTGTTAGGTAGTTGTCTGTGCCATACACTATAGAGAGCGTATAGTCCATTTAGAACAATGTTCTAAAATACAGATAAGAGAAACCAATTGTTGTGGTTTAGTGGTTCAGCCAAGGGCGAACTAGAATGAAGGAAGTGAAACCTTAGAAGTTGCAGGTCGATCAACTGGAACATCAACATCCCTGATGGAATATGTACTGCTGCAAGACCCAACAACTGGTGATCTTGGATTCTCCGTCATGTTGGCTGTATATGCAATTGAATTCACAGAAGCAGAGGGAGCTGGGACAACATAATGTTCAAGATCAAGATCCAGACCCACGAAAGAGCCATTCTGGGCAAAAAGTTGAAAAGAAAATTAAATTCCTTAGTAGAGTGGTCCATGAACATGTGTTTCATAGAACACATTTGCCATTAACTTAGCATAAGGTTAGTATGGAAAACTGTGTTATTAAAAAATAGAAAGGCATATAATCGCTTACATATGACACATGACAAGGTAATGTAATAGAAAGAAAAGTAATATAAATTGAAAAATGAAGGCCGTTTTTATTGAGGACTTATCACCTGAAACTTGACAATAACCCATTTTACATGTAGAAACACTGCATTTCTTGCAAGGATTTAACAAATGATATAGAGTAAAATGAATATTTGCTGGTCAAAAAATATAAAAATTCCAACCAGAAACTCACAAATGAAATTCTACAAGTTCATACAAGGTTTTTAGACTCATCTATTCTATTTTATACATTGCATTGAGAAAAACATTGTGCTTAACAGCTAACAGCGGGGCAAAGAATTAAAAACAATGTTGTAAAGTACCAAATACCACCTGAAGCTCTCTTGTAATCTTACCTCACCGCCTGTCTGTGGCTCTGAATTTATGCTGACATCAGGAATCCCACGCACGGATGAAGGACGAAAATTTTCTTGATAGGCCCTCCAACTAGCTGCAAGATCAAACGGAGAAACCCTATCTACTTTAACGAATACTTCATACTCAAGAACTTCGGCACTCTCAAGCCTAAACAAAGCAAGCCTGGTATCCTCCGGCAATGTCCCCCTAATCAGCAGTCGATTTGGACCCTCCTCAACAATACAAGGTGAATTGCTGTGGTTAGGCTTCAAGAGGAACTTGAAATCCAAAGTTTCTGAAAATGCCAAAAAATTAAAGGCATCAGGCACAATCGAGAGAGAGCCCTTTGATGAGGCAATTCTGAATGATTTGCTAACTAAAACTAAACTTCAAACAATTTAAGACACCAAAATGCCAGGCTCTCTGCTCATAGCAAATCCAACAGTGCTACGCTCAGAATAAGACAACTGTTTCTTCAGTTCAATTTACCTTAGAAAACTTGGCTATTTATACAGTTTTATTAAGTTTTATTTTTATTGAATGCTTCCAGAAATAATAACAACGTATCGAGTCAATGAATGATAATTAATTATTGCATCTTAAAGACGAAGAGGAAAAAATATGTTACCATGATTGGGTGGAACAACAAAGCTCAACTCCCACATTGACACCGATTCCCGTTCCATAGAAAGCTGAATGTGGTACCCAAAAAAAAATTTAGACCACCAAAATCACACTAAATCCCGAGTACTCATCCAGCAAATGTAGAAAGTAGGGTTCAAACAAAATTACTGCTCTTGAAGAGTCCCAGGAGCCCACAAGCGGAAGAGAACCAAAGACATGAGGAACGAGCTCCCCTGTAAGCTTACGATTCTCCATCTTAAGCGAAACGTACAGCTGCCCATCTTCATCACTCCCATTAAACTCACCATCCGTGTTCTTCGAAGCACCCGCCCCCATTATATGAATCCAACAACCACCGCCAATCGCAGTGCTTCAGATTTTTCTTGAGTGCGAAGAAACAGGGAAAAAATGGAGATATCGTGTTGAATATTGTGAATATGAATGTGGTTATAAAGCTTCGCTTCGTCTGGTGGTAATGTATTTGGATTTTGGAAGCATCGATAATTGCTGAGAGCAGCGAGGGAGCAGTGAGAGATGATTGCTGGTTGGCTCTACTGCGCTCTAACGCTATATATGGCTTTGCGTGGGCCGTAGTACTTGCACAAGCGCGTGTCATGAATGGCTTGTATTTAGGGAAAATCTCAACAAAATTTACCGTTGCATTTTAAAATTTTAAATTAAAAAACTATTATAAAAACATATTCTTATTTGCTTTTCAAGTATAGTCAGTTTTTTACAGGTGTACTGGTAACCAATACTAATTTAAAATTTTGAAATTCAACAATCATTTTTTTTAGATTTTTTCTTGTAATTATTATTATTATTATTATTATTATTATTATTAGTGGTTATTTGTTAGAGTGATCCATATCATCAAAATATGAATTAATGAAAAAATAAGATGAATATTTCAATAATTTTTGATGAAGTCATGACTTTGAGAATTAAAAAAATTGTATTAAAAGAAATATTTTAATTAGGCTTAATAATGTTCAAATTTGATCTAATAACAAAAAATCACCATGCAACCCACTAATTTAATCACTAAACAATTCCACAACAACTTAGCAGCGTATATAGCTGTTGTTATTTTTTATACTGAAATTTGTTATTGTATACTACTCACTTATTATAAGACTTTTTTATAATTAAATTGTTTGTGGTATTGCACGTTAATTTTCCTCTGATAATAATGATGAATTTGATGTCATTATATATATGCTATTTTTTATCTTAATATAAAAACTAGTTAGAAATTGAATTTGATCTTAAATATGAGAATTCAATCCACTTTATCTTTCTTTATAATTTTTTCTATAAAACATCTCTATTGATTATAAGGTGTTTGTATCTAAAGATAATTTCAATATATATGATTGAATACAGTCATATAGAGAAGTCAACACGTTTGTTATCAATAACCAACTTAACTAATTTATTTAATTTTTTTCAAATTAGTTATCTAACTTTTATATTAAACACACAGGAGCTACTATATATGGTGAACAAAGGTGAATAGAAATCAAGTTTTAAGTGATTTTTTTAAATGGAATGAATTGGGGTTAATGGATTAATTCCAATGCTTTATCCATCCTGTCAATAAACAGGGATTTAAGAATATAAAGGAACAATTTTTTAGCTAATAATAGTAAGTTCATGGTGTTTTCATTACAGAGAGACGGTGGGAGAGGGAGAGAGAGAATAATTTTAGATATTTTATTTTTCATATATTATAATAATATGTTGATGAGTAGCAGTAGATGGCGAAAATGAAATGTGTGGGCGTTGAGATCACAAAAATATGATATGGGTGGGGCAGCGTGAAAATCAGCAAATTGCTTTTTGTTAAGGTATGGGAATTCAATGGAGGTAACGCCAACGGAAAATGAAAATATTAATTAAAATCAACCGTTAAGGTCTCTTTCGTGGCTATGGCGGCATTTAATTTGCGCTTATCTGTGATTGGTGACAACAGCAGAGCCTCAAACCTGGAAAAATATATCAAAATATAAACATCAAATGAAGAGTTGTGGTCTTTTTCATAAGCATCATTTTGAATTTGTTTTACACAATTATTATCTTTAATTAATTTTAATTAATTTTTTGAATTATATGAATTAGTTATCTGGTGCTTATATTTTGAACCAGAGGGAATATATTTAAATAAATAAAATAAAAGTAAGAAAATTATATTCAAAAGGGTTTTTTATAAAAGCTTCCCTCTATCTATCTATCTATCTATCTATCTATCTATCTATCTATCCTATAGACCTTATAGTGATTTTGTGATTGGTCCACATGTCGATTTTAGACAGTAGTTTCTCTTATATCTCATTGGCTATTGGGTGATGATGTGAGCCTTTTTTTTTCTAAGTCTTGGTGGATACACCTACATTGGTGATTGTATCTTCATTTATTGTTTGTCTTTTTATTTCCCTATGTTTTGAGAGGGTCTGTTGCCATTTATTGTCTACCTTTTTGTCTCCCTTCTCATTAGGGCTCAAGTGTTCAAAGTTTATTGCCTTACCTTCCTACAAATATGGGGTTGTGGGTGGGCTTCTATGCTAGTGTTTTTGCGCGGTTGTTTGGAAAAGATGTTGCTCTCTAGAGAGTTACATGGTGGCAACAAGGTCAGAGGAAGTTGATGGATTGCTTTTTGATTCTTTGTCTTCTTCTAATTTAGTTTGTTGTGGTATATTTGTTTCTTCATTCTTGTTTGGTTTTATGGGTAAATCTCTGTGTTCTCTCTGCTCCTTTTGTAATGGTTTACTAAGGATGCCCTTGCTTTTTCCATGCTTGGTTTTTAGGGCATGTGGTTAGCATCATGAATCCTGATGACTACTAGAGAAAGCAAATAATCAACTTACTCATTTTGCCACGGACAATGGCATAATGAAGCAGCAATTTTTGCCCTTGATAAATAACAATTATATAGGTCTAGCTTTCTTGGCTTTTACATTTTATTCTGTGATTTTTAACAACCATTTGTTCTAATTTTTGACATGTATACCACATCTTCTTTTCTTAGACTAGACATGCCAAGAGAGATGTAACAAATAACAAATCATTTTGATTGTTTTATATTAAATCTTTTTTTTTTGTCTCTCTCTTTCATTTGAGTTATTTTGTGTTAGTTTTGCCTTCTATCTATCTAATATAGTGCAAAATTCGTATTGCTTGTATTGCTTTTATAATCTCTTACATTTTTTGTAGAGAATATTATTGTATTTAACTTGATATATTATGGACAAGTAGTGAATGCAACTCTTCAGTACAACAATGTTGGCACAACAGGTGAGAGGCTAGCTGGAAAGGTATTTCAGTAATATGATATTATCGTTTTTTAGAACATGCAAACATTTGTACTTATATCTTCCCAATTGTTCAGTTATAATTTTGTATAATTACTAACTTTGAAATTGCTTACCCTGTATCTGAATCTTTGGCTTTTAATAATTTCTATGCAGGTATGGTTAGTTGGGCACATTCTTTGGGAGATTTGATGACAAGATTTTTAGGAGAAAAATGCTAACAAATGAGCCAACAATTATTGTATACGATGAAGTTTTTCATAACGTAATTAGAAGATGATATAAGACTAGCTCTGTAGTTTATTTAATACGTCTACAAAGTTTTAAGTGTTTATTCTTTTTTTCTCCAATGTTTATTCATTTCACCCTTACTGATGGGACTGTAATTATTGAAGTCAGTGAGTTGTATCTCCGAGGTCACTTGAATCCTTCCAAGGTACTGCCAAAGCATTACTTTCTCTCAGTTTCAAATCTCACACCCTTTTGTTTTATCATTCAAATTAAACTATTGGATAAATGCTTTTAAAAGAAATAAGGATGAACAGCGTAATATCTCCATGCTATTATATTTATCGTTTTAACTTTTGAAAAAAAAAAGAGAATAAACAACATAATCGAGAGGCTGATGCGTAAAACAGGACTCTAAGGTATTAGCAAGTGTCCACCAAAGCCAGATACTTCTAATACTCACTCTCGTGGTATCAGAGCTTGTTTGTTCATCCTTATTTCTTTTTAAAAGTTAAAACGATAAATACAATAGCATGGAGATATTCATTAATTACAAGGTAATGAAAGTATGTATGAGCTATCAAAGTTAAGAAAGAGGGATAGCCGAGAGATGCATTTATAACCGCATTGTCTAATTTTATGAATGATTCAACATCTTTTCATTGTTCAAAATATTGAAAAAGGCCATCTGTAATTATATAGTAATCTAGATTCTTTCACAAAGTGATTCATGGTGTCTTCATTTTTATTATTCTAGAAAATAATTCATGGTCTTTTCTTTTTTTAAGATACTAAAAAGAGTACAAGTCTATATAATTATATAATTCTCTGAATTATTCTACACAACATTAGCGGTACACAAAGATCGAACTAGACCAGGTTAAGTATCAGTCTAAAGTCTGGTCTGAAAAAGCATCAGGTTGGGCATCTTGGTCTGTAGTCTGGTCTAGTCTAGGTAGGCTCAAGACCACGACCGGGGAGAAATTCTTATGTACTCTCAAAGTGCCATCTCACCTAAACTCTCTCCAATTAAAACAGCCCAACTCAATTTATTTTAATCGACTTGGTGGATGACTCATGTGTTGAATAGGTTCACATTTATTTTTTTAAAAAGAAAAATAAACCCCAAAATCTGGATGAACAAACGCTCATATGAACCCATTCCTGCTTAAATGACTACCAAGAAATTGGAAGAATTGGAGGAGGGTGCCTTGGCACCCTGCTCTGCATCATCTTCATTGGCCGTGGAGAGCTAGAGATACCTTAACATTGTCAGCGAAGAGTCCATGGGTCGCATCGTGCTTTCTATCGTGTCTTCTCTAGACTTGTTGGTGGTTGCAACACACATTCTTTCTTCTCGTGTTTTTTTCAGGTTTGGTTTTGGGCTAAAAGGTTTGATCCACACTTCTAATAAAGGATGTAAATTTACTCAATTTATGGAAGAAAATTTGCTATTCATGATAACAATTTTTTTCCCTCCCCTGGTTCATGAAATCTGCTATTCGCACATGATAAGTGATAATAGTACCTCAAGATCTTTGTTTTTTCCCCTTCTATATCTATATTGCCATTTGATTACAAGGAATTGTCTAGTTTTTTTTTGGGAGTCAAGATGATGCTTGAAAAAATTAGAAGCTGTGGAAAATGTACATGACAGTACCTCTGAACAGGGGAAAGGTTTTGCGCACTAGTTATGTAGTGATGTGATAAATGATGATTTATTTGCTGAAAGGGTCTTGAAGTTAGTAGATTTGCCTTCTCTAGTGAAACTTTTTTTTCTTATTATGTTCAGCAATT